TCTCATGTCTGCTACAGAGTCGGGAAACAGTTATGTATCTTTTCTCAGAGTCGAAGCACCCGTTATAAACAATTATTGAGGTTTTTGTGGTATCCAGAATAATCAACGTCGAGTTAGGGGTTATCTGCCAAAGCTAAAGGCTGAGGCTGATAACCCTTACCGACATCTTGATTATTCTGGGTATCACATAAACCGAATCTAATAATTGTTTTATTATACATTGAACGAAAAAAAATGTGGAAGTCATGTCTTTGCTTTTTCATTGACGGCAAGCAACACAAAGCGACGAACTCAGTTGACATAATTACCCTTAGAAATCATTGACTGCGGTCATACATAACATGATTTCCCGTAACCTCGCGTGTCCTTGACATGATTATTGTATAATCTGCAACTAGATGACGTCACAGGCACTGATTTCCAAAATTCACTGTACGCTTTCGGCCAATCAGAAAAGAGATAGTGAGTTCAATGTATAATAATCTTATTTACTGGCGTTGTTCAGCTCTAATTTGGTAAGGAGCTGGATAGCGAGTTAACCCGATTAGTCCTTTGAGATCTGGAAGGCTGCTTTTCTTCGGCGGTAAAAATGTAAACTTGTGCAGCATCCAGGACAAGAAAAGGAACAACTCCACCTAGAAAGAGAGAAACAAATAAATGTAAGTTATGTGTCCAATAACAACTGAGGTACTTACAATCAAACAAAATGTTTTTAAAACGGAAATTTATATAATTATTCTACTGTCACATTTTGGCCATCACAGTTCAGTTTATTCCTTCATATATAACCTGTTTATCTTTTTACGCTAAACAGGTTCTTATACTTTGAGGCACTATATCAAAGCCAAAGAAGATGTTCCAGGTCCTTAATCCACTAAGTTCTTATAGACGAGTTTTTACTGTACCTCACAACCTGGGTATATTCCAACTGTTAATTGCTTTTCTAAAATTTCCTCTTACCAGAGGTCACACATTGACAAGGACATGATTTTCCAGTGTCACCTTTGCCAGTGCTTCACCAGCACAAACCTGGCGTCCTGCCGAGAAAGGCAAAAAGTTACCAGAATTGGTGATGAGCTGGCCATCAGCATGAATATGGCGGCGAGGGTTGAACGAGTTGGGATTTTCCCAGCAGTTTGGATCCAGATGAACGTTTATCAAATAAACAAACACTACTGTATCCTTTGGAACACGGTATCCAGCAAGCGAGGTGTCCTTCAAAGTGTAATGAGGAACACCTGCTTCAGCCACATTTCCAAGTCGTAGAGCCTCCATGATGGTGGCCTGAACGAGTGGTAGACGCGGACGATCATCCAGCCCCGGCATTCGGTCCCTTCCGACCACTTCATCTAATTGGTTCTCTGGTCCAACGCAGGGTGGTACTGGTGGTCTCATAACCAGCGCCGAACATGTCTTCCATGGTGTTGATTACGCTTTCATCTGACAAAAGAGACGCTCTGTCTTCAGCGCCAGCCTCATTCTCAGCTGCAATCCTCTCTTTTAAAAGACTTCCAGTGAGGCTATCAATCTTTGCAGTAGAGTCAAAGTCTTTTTCCTGAATCATTAGCTGATGGCGAAGAATTTCAAATATCCGGCCCATCGATTTCTGCACCGATTGATAACTACGAACAGGAAAGTATTTTGCAGCTGGAAAGAAATCTAAAACAAAGTTCTGAGCAATTGTTTCAGTGTCCGTAAAGCCTTTGATGTTTAATTGTAAAAGTTCCTCGAAGTCTGCATTTGACGAATCAAAGAATTTCCCAAATGTGATCAGACCAGTCACATTTGCAACGCTCCCCGTTAGAATATGTGCAGGGTCAAAATCTTTTCCATTTTGGTCTTCAAAGTACTGCAGCAACCGCCCGGCCTGCTTAAAAATCCTTTCTTCGACAAGTTGCTAATCGGAGAGATATTGCCGGATAGCTGCCATGAACAGCTTACGGTGAAACTGCCAAGCAGGACCAAAGTTTCCTCTCACGATATAGTTTCCACCTGTAATACAGGAATAAAATTTTATTGAAAAGTTAACAAAGAATGTGTGAGATGAGTGGGGTCGATGCGAGAAAAAAAATGGGGAGGGGGGAGAGGGAGTGTCCCAGCCATATGGAAAGTTCGAGCTTGTTTGTCTTGTCGCTTAGGTGTGTGCATTACTGATTTTGGTGTCGGTTAATTGTAGTGAACCATCAAAGTATTTTTTAGGGTACACTTGAAGAATTAATAATTAAACTCTGTCATTTCCGTTTTTACCGGTGGTATACTATTAGCAGTCAAATAAAACTCGAGCCACTCTCAGATTGGTCTGCTTTAACGTTGAAATTGGGGCAGTCTATGTGCTTACCTCTTTTCAGTATGATTAACTAGCGGAGTACCAGTAGAATTAAAAAGGAAACTTGGTCATGGGTTTAAAACCCTGGCACACGATTTTTGACAGTCTTATGCAACCACCTTTGTTGTACCCCAAATATTCTTTAATTTGGGAGCACTTGTTTGACTCCAAACACGAAAGATTCAGTCAGTAACTAGTCTAGTCATAGGAGGGGACTGGTTATGAAGACCGCCAAACTTCAGAGAGATAGGTCATTGTTTGAGTTTTTCGAAGTCACGTGACAATGACCGTGCACTCACAAATTCAAGATGGCGTCGTTTGCGAACGAATATGTGGTCATTTGACGTGTTTTGAAAGCTAAAAAATGTAGTTCTGTCAGTTTGAATGGTTTTCAAAAGCATCTCATTTCGAAAGTAAAATGCCGGCGATAACTGTTCGGTTTTTGGCTGTGGTACGTGCCGGAGAACAAAAGGAATCGGCATCTGGAAACTGCCCTCTACACGAAATACCGAATGTAAAAAGTAGCGAGAAGAGTGGCTGAGTGAGATCACGAAAACAAGAGTTGTAGACAAAGATTTCCAAAGATTTCCTCCATTAACTATGGTCTAGGGGAGTCTTTTCCTGCTTCCGGGAAATAGCAATTTAAATAAAGTGTAGTGTATATAGATTTACTGTACCAAGTGTATACAGCTTGAAGGAGTGAAATGGAGGTCTCCCAGCATAATCGGCAGATCTCTTTATCAGCACTTCCTTTACAGAATCAGCATCTTCGGCGAATACAAGTTTAAAACTGCCAACTTTCATCGAATACACAGCACCATACTTCTTCCTCACGCTTTGTAATGGAACAAAAAAATAAGAAAAGGTACACAATAAGTATCGATGAATTGCATGGTCAGCACAGTTTTACATCTGCATTTCACGTACGTGAGGCGGGAAATTGGCACACCCATTTCTCGTTGAATTGAAAGTATAGAGGGTCGGGGTGGAAATTTGAGACCATTTTAGCGATTCCAAGTGACAATGTGGGCTGCAAGGCTCCGATTGCAAGGAAAGCTGGGTTAGCAGTGTAGAGAAATGTCCACGTTTTTTTTTTTTATCATCTTATGACCTAGGATAGCTGTTATTGCAGTTATCAGCGGCTTGACACACAAACGAGGCGAAAGGGTCAGTTCTGCATTGTATTGACCCTTTCGCCTCGTTTGCATGCCTTTTAAAACAAAAGAATATTTGACCGCAGACTCAACTCCAATAAAAGCTACTACTGCAAGCAAATTGCCTCTTGGTGTCGGTTTTAAGGGGAGGATTGAGTTGCTAACGACTAGAAATGAAACTAGACGATATCTATGCTTGGATTCCTCGTCCCGACCACTTTGGGCTACATTTTTCGTTTCCCAGATCGGGCGTTGCAAAGTGATTGTGACGCCTTGTCCTTCTTTCAGGAGTGGAAATTACCCCC